GGGGGGCCATTTTTGGGGCCAACGCGCGTCTGCGCTAGGCGCGGCTGCGCTTTGCAAGGAGTAAGAGCTCAGTAGGTAGATATGATAGAGTGGTTCAATAATAAAAACGCGTTAATATTACGCGTTTTTTATTTGTCTTGAAAAGGTTGGTGAAAAGAGCGGATGAGTTACTGGAAAAAAGGGGTTCCACGGAGGTTCGTCACGTGACCAAACCACCACTTCCATATCCTCGCCCGTTTTCCCTCTCACCAGCACAACATCAACATACTCAAAACTAAGAAAATGGCGCCAAATTACTCAGAGCCGCCCCACAACAAGAGAAAAGCACCACCAGAAGACGATTATGATATTAGCGAGATAGACGAAGAGGAAGACGACGATGAAGATGAGGAATTTCGCGCAACGCCAACGCGCAAGTCGCGACCAACGAAAAAGCCACGAAGCTCCACACGCGACCACGATAGATCCTCAGAAGGTGGTACCATGGTATCACGGCGTGTGCCGACTGGAACTTCAGGTCACCGGTTGACCAGTTCGCGAGAGGTAGAAGCAGAAAGTAGATCGAAGGACGAGCGACAGGAGGTTGGGCCATCTAATCGCAGATTCTCAATGGAAGGATCGTCCAGATTGGGAAGCTCAAAGATATTCAAGGGCAAGGCGAGAGCCATGGTAGCCGAGACGCCTCAAAAGGAGAGAAATCGTGATTTCCCTCCAACTCTCTTCGATATGGAGCAGGGCTCCGAAGAAGAAATAGGCGACGAAGAGGCTACTGAGAAAACGCTCTCATGGACTTCTGACGACGAGAAACATCTAAAATTGACCAACGCAAACGAACAGTCATTGATCAACAAGACTCAAAAGCTCTTTGGCCAAATGCCATACGATCTCATCCCCGCGAAGAATATGCCGAAGCAAGAACGCGACATCCCGATATTGCCATTGCCCTTGGCCGGCGCATTTTCGAAACTCGTCACTTGTCCAGCATTCGTGGGGTCGACCCAAGTTCTTCACGTACTGTGTTCAGATGGCAATCCATCAACGAGCCGGTAAAGCAGTTCAGAAGAAACCAAAGTTGTCCGAAATTCAGACAAATCGATTGGACCAATTCTATGCCAGTTTAAGAAGGGTATCGAAAAGTCAGTGAAACAGAAGATCCTTTTGACCGCAAAATTGAAGACGGTGCTCGGTGATGCAGTGAATAAGGTCTTTGGGGAAGACCTTCCACCACATGTCGCCTTTATTGACGAGATCTCCAAGGTCAAACGAAATTTGCCGCGAGGAAAACATGGTCACCAAGAAGGTGGGCTAACTCCCGAGGTTATCAAGGGAGATTTCGACGCCATACTCTCTGCTTGGGATATCTACGCCAAAGATAAACATTTACCATCCATGAAACAAGCGAACGAAGATTTCCCCAAACCTGGTGGACCGAACAAAGCAGGATTGCCTTCGCGGAAAGAGCTTACCCTCCTATCCAAGAAGGAATGGGTGCTCAACCGACGCGAGGAGACGAGACGAATTACTGACCCACACACATACGAAATGGAGGACATTGACGATGTGGTTCTTGGCCCTTCAACAGCGAAGGTTTTAAAGAATCTGAAACAACGAAGAATAGAGCTGTGGAATATGAAGAGACGGATGATTGGGGACTGGGGGATGCAGGGATGGAGGATGAAGGACTCGAGGTTAATGCGATAGTATCGGCAAACCCAGGCAAGGCTTCAGATGGTGCTTTGCTATCACCAGACGATGTTTTGACATCGATGGGAGTACAGGAGACTTCAGACGATGCTTTGGCATCTGGAGGAACAGGAAAGACTCCACCCAGTGACTTTGCCCTCACCGGGTCTGCTGATGAACGCACTTCTGACGAGGTTCCGGCGAGTGGACTTTCGGACAGCAACCTGCTATCATGGTTGAACTTACTCGATCAATAAACCCTGATGTGGAACCTGACGTCCTGACTACATTGGAAAGGACACGTTTGAATGACGCTTACGATATCGACGACAGAGGATCCGCCCAGACCAAATTCGTTCAAGATAGCTCGCTACACTGATAACGATTCTGCGTGCCCAGATTCTGCTCTATCTCATGAGTGCGATTATTTTGACGGGCAGAAAGAGCCACACGGGGCTCCATTGAATGGAGATTACGTCGAAGCTTGACGCGATTAAACGAAATCGTGGGTAGTTTTTACCCATCCGAAACGCCAGGGTGGGTACTTTGAAAGTCGCCCGCTAGAGTTGGCTTCTCTTTTTGAGGTTTGACCTCTATCGTCAGGTTTTGACCTGCTTTTCTCTGAGAGGTTTTGACCTCTGTTGACAGGTCTTGACCTGTGCTTTTCGACAGGTTTGACCTGTGTTTTCTGACAGGTTTGACCTGGATTTCTCTGAGAGGTTTTGATCTCTGTCTTCAGATTTTGACCTTGAGAGATTTACTATAGGTGACTCTAGAGGAATGAAATACGTTCTTCTAATTAATATGTGTTGCTGTGATATCTGAAACCCAATAACCTAATGTGAATCTTAATCCTAAGTAGGCAAAGGTAGGATTCAATCGAGAGATGGAAAACAGAGGCAGGACAGAGACACGTTTTCAAGTCTACCACACCTTTTTGAGATAGAGGTTAGTACCTGTCCCCCCAGCATATCTGTGAACCCTTCGCTGAGCCCGTCCAAGATCCCGCCGCGAGAGTCTCAAAGCCTTTCCTTCCGTACTACAGTCGATCACTCCGTGTTCAATACCCCTACAGAATCTAACATTCAATAACTCGGACGAGAGAAAGAAACATATATGGATATTGGTGGCTGAGAGATGGTGTTGGAGATAGGCTGGGCCTCTTGTGGAACCGTCAGCCGCGCTCCTCTCAATCTATCAGGCAAAGGGGATCTGCGGGGAAGATTGTTTTAGTTATGAGAGAGTTCTTCAGTTCCAAGCACGCAGTTCTATCATTTGAGCTAGACCTAAATAGTAAGATACGTGGTCGTTACTATACTCTCTATAATACTTCTCTTAGAATAATATTATCTAAAAACCTCGTATAACTAAAATAGTTTGGAAATTTTTAGAGTAATTATTAACGCTAAATTTCTTTTCTTTTTTTAGGCCTAGATATACTAAGATAATAATTTTACTTATACTAGAAGTTTAGTATACTAATATTTTATAAAGTAAATAGGGAGTAATAACTAGGTATCTTAAAAGTGTATAATATATATCTACGGAAGACTTAATCTAGAGGTATCTCTATTGTTACTAGTAAATTAAATAGTAGCTTAGTTATAATAATGAATTAAAAGCCATTATTATTAAATAAATAATAACATGTAATTTATATATAATTATCTAGTAAAAGTAAAGACGTTAGCTAAAATAGTAGAGTGTAGTTTACTAATTGTTTTGAAGGTTACAAATAGACATTTGACTCCTTCTTTAGCAAACTAGCCTTAGAGAAACTTGTGTATATTTTTCTTTTTCGTCGTGTGCGAATATCTTTATGAATACCAAATGCATGTATTACGCAGCGTAAAGACCTGTTTGGTCATGTGACTCCGTGCCGTGTCTCAGGGACGCTCAAGAGTGGTAATAATGAATTAGTAGAACCAAGCCCGTAGGTGTGAGGGAATACTAATCTACGATTATTCTCTCTGATTGATTTCATATCCATTATGACGAGGGCATCTCCGACAGACCCAGTGCTGATTATAGGCGCTGGTATCTCAGGGCTTGCGCTCGCTCAAGGGCTCCGTCTCAATTCCATTCCGTTTCGCCTTTTTGAACTACGTCCTCGATCGCATGGCTCCCAAGGCCATCGCCTTCGTATCTCTCCCGAGACAGTTACTGCACTAGACTCCATCCTTCTTCCTCAATCAAAATCTCTGTTCTATCAGACTGGCGCAGAGAAAGGAGCTTTCCAGCCCCGATATGTCGCTGCAAAGGAATTTGTATTCCCTTCGCCAACACCCGCCTCACATTCCCAAGGTATCCCCATCGATCGGACATGGTTGCGGAATCTGATGATGCTCGGAGTCGACGACGCAATCGAATTTGAGAAGGAGCTTACTTCATATGAAGTGATAGAAAACGATAAAGTATGCGTCTCCTTCGACGACGGCTCTTGGGCGACCGGATGTTTTCTTGTAGCTGCGGACGGAGTAAGAAGCCGTGTTCGCCGCCAACTCCAACCCCATTGTCGACTCCTCGATCTAGAGAGATGGGTGATTTGGGGCAGGACATTGCTGACGGAAAGTCTCCGAGCTCGTTTGAGGGACGATCAACTTACTTGGTTTATGGCCATTGATAAAGAAGCCAACGTGCAGGTCGTTCTTGAACCAATGGTGTGGAAGAAAAGTGTCACGGAGGCCTCGGAATATCGTCTTACTGATTGCCACGACTACATATACTGGGCTCTGTGTACCGAAACAGCGCCTGGTGGGTTACTCCTGCCAAAATCGGCTCGAGAAAGAAAGGAATTCCTACTCAACATTACAAAACATTGGCACCCTGATCTGCAATTGATCTTCAATATGGCATCACACGATCTTTTGACATGTGTCACAGTCTTGTCTAGTAAACCGGATATCGAAATACAGTCGTCTAGCCATCGGGGCAAAGTCACTCTACTCGGTGACTCAGCACATGTCATGAGGTATGTGTTCTTGAAGTTTGTCTCCTAATCCGATTTATTTGAGGAGTGAGATTCCTCTTCAAACTTAGAAGGATTTTCTTTATCTTGTTCTATTCGCATTATCCCCATAGAACAAGTCGGAAAGTTTATACTGACACTCTAGCCATAGCCCGATGGGCGGATCTGGTGGCAATGCCGCAATTCTCAACGCGGTGGATTTGGCACAGACAATCAATAGGTATGGAATTTCGCAAAAGGCTATGGAAGGGTTTGAGGAGAGGATGTCACAGCGAGCAAAAGAAAAGATCGAGCATTCATTTGAGGGAGGTAAGAAGTTTTGGAAAGGAGGAGAATGGTTCCAGTATCAGGAGAGTGAAGTTTGAGAAAATTCTAATTGCTTTTTCTACTGCTTGATTTCATGATGTCAATGTGTGGCCGGCCTTTTGTTTTCTTTTCAAGTAATTATACCGCATCAAGTCCTCGTGGCTCCCGTGCGCTTCCCCCTTTCCCAAGGCTTTCCAGCTCTACGTGTTCCACGCCACTCCTTCCCGACATCGAGCCTTTACCAGACAATGATCCACTCCCGAACGCCCCTTTGGATGGACCTGTTTCTCTTGTAAGATCGCAAGCCCCAGGGCCGGCTGGTCCGGAAGGTTCGACTGTGTTGTATAGGCTCCGATTCGAGTATGTTGGACTACTATGTCGAGATGCAGAGCGCAGTGTCAGTACTGCTGCAGCATGTTGGATTATTGACAAAGAGACGTCGAATCCACGGCGAATTACTCGTGGCAAGACATGGATAGCTCGGAATGATAAGGAGGGTAGGTTGCAAGCAATGAGCCCCACCCCAATCTCAATTGCGGGCCAATTTGAGAAAAGGAGTGATGAACCTTGATTTTGTTAACATTGATACGATGAGAAAGAAGTAGGAAGAAACTTAGTACCTTGGAAGAAGTTTGCGGTACCGCCACTTGCTACCAATGAGGGATTGGTAAGATAAACGAGCTGTATTATGGTGTTGTTTAGACCAGCGACAAAGGCACTTAGCCTATTAGTATTGAACCGAGACCAAGCGGAGGAAAACCTACAAGCCACCAAGCAAGAATATCACACAGAGAGCGATCTTTTTCTTAAGATCTAAATGCAGTCTCCAAACCTGTTTCGTTCACCGTCTAATCAGTTATGTCCTTTCTCTAATAAAGAAAAAATTAACTTACGAATGGCATTGGCAGGATAAGCAAAAAGAAATCAATAAAGCTATCCAAAGCGAACACTCCCATCTGAATCTGGAAGCCCCAGAGGGGACAAACCAACCATCCTCCTTCAAAATCTTCCTTCAAGTGCGTACCGCAGTAGAGCAGCCAAGAAATAGCAGCGTATACAAACCAAACTAATGAAAGTCCGATCAGAGACCAACTGCTAATATTAAACAATTTTCCCAGGAATATACGGCGGTAAAAGAACAGAACAGTCAATTTGATAAGCGTGTTTCCTCCCATCCAAAATATAACTAGTGCGCCTGTCACCTAAAATGTATCAGTATTTGTGTGGCTGCAAACTCGTGAGCAGATACGTACTTGGGCTAAGAGTTGTTGTTACTCTGTCACGTCGCTTGGACCACTTAATGGTTCATCAACAAAAGCATTCTTAAAGACCCCTTTAAAAAGATTTTTCTTCAATCAGCAATGCGAAAAAGATTATGCCAGAACTACAAAGACAGAAATACCTGTTACGAGCGAAGCACAACATCACGTCAAACAGAACTGGAGAAAATATCAGTTTGTATATTCCTACTCTACTACAAGATTTGTTCAACCTACCCAGGCACCTGAACAGAGCCAATCATCAATGTAGATTTTAGCATTCTGATGATATCTCCTCAGGAATTGCAATAGTACAAGCAGCCCACAAATGATAGGAAAGCAGAATCCGATGGCAAGGGCACTCCCCGTTGTCGCAATTCCCGACATTGTGAATCAATTGTGACAGCTGTGTTTTGCCAGGTTCGAAAAGGCTTCTCTCGCGCAAGCGAAGATTGGGTATGTTTTCAAACCTGGACAACGAGTGGCACACCGTTTGTAAGCAACCGCAATACACCTACACGCCTGTTCTTTCTGGTTGGAAGGAAAGATCTCTGGAATTTTATTTTCGTAAATCATCACCAATAGACAGTTCTACTGAAGTGATCATTGTCGGGCAGCTACACTTTTCCCTCTGTATTTACTCTGGATTTCAATAATATACGAGACGTCTGAGTACAATTCCTTGTTTCAGATGATGGATATTGATATTGTGCCAATTATTTCAAAATCGGGGTTTTACTGATTTACATAAATACCGTAACGTCTCACGGATTCCAATCTAGTGAAATCACATTTCCAGGCTGCTTCCACTGAAATCCCTCTGGCATAACTACCTTTCGGTCTTCCAACCAGTTCTGTAATGAATCCCAATCTACACATTTATGATGCGTATTTGCGTTCGGTGTTGGATTCTGGTGATCTAATACCCAGTTGTATGGGATAATTCCCGTATCAAACTGGCACATCAGACTTTGTCGGATGTAATCCACGCAATGTTCGTAGTGCAACTCATACAGTTCTGGTACTCGTTGTTTCTTCTCCTGAGTTTTCGGGAAATAGGACATATGATGGTCCTGCCAGATGTAGTGGAGACAGTGTACTTGATGAGAGCCAATGGTAGCTGCGATGTAGCCTCCTCCAGTATCCTGGGGAAATTGTGCAGACCAATCTGGGTGTTGAATTTTCTCAATGTCTTCTTTGGAAACACTGATCATGCCGACTGTGGAGAGTCAGCTCATGGCCTGTGGAGGTTGATATCGATATAGAATACATACACTTCATTATATCGTACCATGCTTCTTCGACTTCTGGTGTCGGGGGACCTTTGTATGGACTTTTGTACCGGAGCGATCCATTGAACTGCTGATGAACATATGAATGAGGAGCAACTGCTTCGTTGACTGGAGCTATATCATGATAATTACGTCAATATTCGAGCCTCAAACTCGCAACGAAACAGATAAAGGATTTCCCACAATAGTAATTGAGCATATCCCAACATTTCTGTCTACTAATCTCCGATGTTTGCAGCAATCCCATCGATAAAGCTAGGATTATAACTCCATTGAAAGCATGGATTGCCCAATGTAACCACTTAAGGACGGCTCTCCGTGGTTTTGTTGCCAATTTCTCGTTCTCGAGTAGTGGGTAATTTGACTCCTCGCTCTTCAACGGTCTGTAGGAAGATGGTTGAAACATAACCGCGACCAAAACTACGGGCGTCAACAAATTCAGTAGATGTCTCAAGGCTGATTGAACCAACAACAACTTTGTCAGGAGAGAAGTGAGATTCAAGCCCCCCAGCCTCTAGCTATGACTGAGAAAGGAGGGATGTGCTTTCTTAGAAAATTCTTGCTGTATTACAACTGCCGAAATATTTCACATAAGTCTGGATGTTGGGTGGTACTAGGATTCATGCATTGCAACGAAAGAGGAATGTATCTATCTACAACATTTCATGCGCTCGTCGTCACGCCATACTGATCGCTGCCTATGTGCCACTTCAAGCTGAGAAACATGGTTTGCCAATCTACGACAGTGTCATTGATTGCCTCTTTTCTTCTTCTGCAAATCCAATACGCGACCAATTCGCACGCATAATTATTAATTTATTTTAAAACTTGATTGAAGACTTGATTAGCCCAAGGGCGAGCGACAGAACTGTGAAGATCATGATGAGGCGAGACATAGACAAATACAATTTGGACCAACATATGTATGATGGTAGTAATTCAACTCTAGGCGAGCCTGGCTCTACGGGGACGCAAAAAACGTCTGTTTCAACCCTGTACTATGTACTGTAAAACACAGATCATGCACGTCAAAGAGCCCTAGAAGAATACCAGCAAACATGAAATTGAGTCTTTGCATATTTTAAAGTAGTCCTTAGACAATTGTATTTTTCTCGTCTCACGTTTATACTCTTACCGTACAACGTACGAGGTGCCATAACAGGGCCCTTTCTAGAAGAGAAAATACGGTCGTTTCCGCATTTCCGCAGAGCCTGGATTACGTCGCTGGTAAGCCCAGGAAGAATGCTGTAGCTTGTCTGTGCAGTCCAGAGGCTACTGTGCCTATTTCGCAATGAATGTAGATAAAGGTTCGCATTACGGTGTGACTGATAATTATATCATGGCTTCCTTGCCCGTTGGATTGGTCAAAGAGGACGATCGGTAGTGTCGTATTTGTGGATATGCACGCTTACAGTACTGTACTATTGCGTAGTAATGTACGACATCTGTGCTTCTTCACGAAACGCGGGGTACATTCCTACAAGGAATATGGTAGAAACAAACATCTGCAAGTCCAGAAATAAATTCAGCAGATGCTCTGGGGGCACCGCCGAGTTCTTCTTCAGTCTTGATTGGATTTTAAAGAAAAGTGATGCTCTGATTAGGAAGTTGATTCGGCGCCTTGTTGCTTCACCGGTTCCGAATGCAGTAATATCAAAGATTCTCACGGAGATGGCATGCATTTCATTTGATTATAAGGGTACCATGTTATTGCAATGCGAGTCTGCCTAGCTGTACTACCGCTGTAAAGCATATTCAATTTGGCCAGCAAACCACCTATCGGCAGTCGAAAATAAAGTACCAAACTCATTGGTTATATAAACATTGTAGTATCCCAAATGTTTTCAGCTTGTGAAAAGGAGACGTATTTACAACCCTGCAAGTACAAGAAACCTAATATCCGACCTTTTACTCCAATAAGTCTTCCTTGCACTATCCAACCACAATGCTTGCTCGCATCTTCTTCGTTGGGCTCTGGGCTATTGTTACTGTGGCTATTCCAGTTGCCAAGCCTGCTAGTAAGTACCAAATTAGGTTGGGAGTTGAAGTAGAAATGGTGCTAATAAAGTAAGATTTCGAAACCGATCCAATGCTTCAAGTTGGCGAGGTTGAAAGCAGTTCATATGCCGAGAAGAGAGCCAACTTTGAGACTGACCCTATGCTCCAAGTTGGCGAGGTGGAAAACAGGTCATATGCACAGAGACTTTAGTTAGTTTCACCTATATTATCTGTGGAAGATAAAGACTGATATCAGAAGATTGCATGGAGAAGAAATACAGTGTTCTCATGAGACCAAGTAGCTTGAACTTTGAGTACCGCGAAGGGGAGAGAGTTTACCCCGTCTCATATCGTGCTATTGGAAATGAAATTCATTCAAAAAAAAAAACTCAGTGTCCAATTTCTTTCCCGTATAGCCTTTTTGAAATTCCAGAACAGACACTCCCTCTGTAACAACACTCGTCTTCTATGTACAACAGTATATATTATCCCCTCCTTTACGTGGGCCCCCTTAAAATATTCATTAAAACCCTTTAAGGTGAACATTGCAGACCCTATTAATAAACTTCCCTCGGCGTTATATATCGTTTCTGTATAAATCAAGGAAAGCTTGTAATAGAAAGAGGATAGAGGCCAAACAATAGATACCACATTAAAATACAGATTCATACAAAGAAAACTTCATAGATTGTCCTATAAAAAACACGCCTCTGGATTGGGACCCCATATTTATTTATTTATTTATTACTATTTAACGTCAGGCGGAATCTAACTCGCGTGGGCTAGGTCCTAAAAGTCCCATTGTTGGGCAAATGACGCTAGGGGGGTGCCCTAGGCTACAGGGGGTGTAAATGAAAGTGCGCTAATTTACAAGA